TCTCTTATTGGTCACATAGCACCATCCTTCTTGCACGTGCTTTTCACACGTGACTTCTTTGTCAGAGAACATCCTGAACATTTCTACTGCTCCAAAGTCCAAACTGGTCCCCTCTGAGTTTATATAGAGGACATAAAGACACAAAGAGCTCCATAACAGAGTGAGTTAGAGAAGGACATAAAGGCCATAACTCAGGATGGGAACAATTCCTCCTGCCCAGAGCCTCAGTATGCAGCGTGGAGTACCAGTAGATCCGACACATTCAGTCTACAGCACTACCAGTAGCGTGGCAGAAGGCAGCCAAGTGGCACACACAGCCATTACATAACCAGACATAAATTATCCACTCCAGTCTGCAGAGGTGGGAAGTGACCGACTCACCTTCTGCAGCAGCTCATTCCTGCAGCTTCCTCCTGAAACATGTCAGCGTGGAAGGAATTAAAAGGTCAAGAAAAAAGATTTGAGTTTGTTTTAATCTACAGAAACATGACTTCAGATGCAGAGCTTCCTGCAGCGTGCAGAGCAGCCAGTTTGTTCCCTCTGTGAATGGAAAGGTGTTTCAGCATTCTGCACACAAAACCTTCCTCTTGTTCTGGAGGGAAAAAACATAAAGCCAAGTGTGGATGAGGTCCAGTTAGCCAAGACCTGCACCAACATCCACGGAGGCAGCAGGTTAGCAGCCTGGGGTTCAATGCCTCGGCAACACTTTGGAGCACTCCAGTTACTCGATAATAAAACCACTGTAGGTCGGCCGTAACAGCGAGAATCCTCATTACACACCGGAAAACTGAACTGATCACTTGTGGGGAAAAAGAAATGAAAGACAGCTGCTTTAAACCACAGAAATGTTTGTGAGGCGAGTAGGTTTTCAGAGCTGCAGCTAAGCTGGGAGAAGGAAATACAAATGTCTCTCCGGCTTTCATCATGTGGAATGTGAGCTTCTTGGATCATAACATGGATGAGCTCGGTGAACTGATAGAGACTCATCATGAGTGCACTCACACCTCACAGACACAGTGTGGGTACCAGGCCTTTGGACTTTTTGGGTGGACAGCGACGTTAATCCAAGTGGTAAGAAGGAATGCTGAGGAACTGGAATAACAGCATGAACCCGGACACGTGACCATGAAGGAACATTGAGGAGACTGTTGTTGTGATTTGGCGTTATATATAAAATATAAAATAAAAATAGATTTGAACATTACTGCTGCTCGGATGTTAAACTTCCGGCTAATGCATCCGTATTGTTTGATGAGGGAATTTTCCCCCCATCACTGCTGTAAGACCTCCATCAGCTGATGCAGCGACCATCCACACGACTGTGGTGAACAGCTAGACATACATCTGAATACTTCCTCTAACATCTGTTTCTGCTGCCACAAGGACAGATGAGGAAAATCTTTCCCTGCATCATAAAGATCCTTATTGCAGTTTTTTCTTGGTGACTTGTTAAAGATTTATTTCATTTCTATTACATTCTGCTCCTTCTTTTGTGGAGTTTTTACCTTATTGAGCTATTTTATTTTTATTTAAGCTATATGCTAGTAGACCACGAGGTTAAAATAACCCATCATGATAACTTAGAGTAACTCTTGTAAGATAGCAAATAGAAAAGGAGACTTTCAGGACTGTGAATGACTCCAGATCTCATGACTGATTCTTGTCTTTCTTCCTTGGTCAGATCATCTGCCTCCATCGTTTGTGCTTACATTCCTATGCTGATGATACACCTCTTTATCTCAGTACCTAACCCTCCACTCAGCTCCTCCCACAATCACTTGCAACTGTCTGCATGAAATCAAAACACGGATGTCATCTAACCTACTCAAACTCAACAGAAATAAAACACAGCTCTTGGTTGTGAGCCCCAAAGTCCGACTCCGGCAGACTAAAAATCTTCTCATTGACATGAACCCCTGAGGTTTGCAATCTGGGTGTCGTTCTGGATTCGCTTTCACATCATATCTGTCACCAAAGCAGCTTTTTTACACCTTTCGATTTTGGCCATAACTCACTGATGCTGCAGCAGAGACTCTCCTCCGTGCCTCTGTCACCACCTCTGTTAGTGATTTCCAGCTCCAGTATGTCCAGAACTTATATGCCAGGCTTCTAACTCACTCTGACCTCTGGGAACATATCACCCCCACCTACAAAGCTCCACTAGCACATCCGTTAATGCTCTGGCCCCTCGTTACCTACCAGGGAAAACCTGCTACTCCATGCTGCTAAGCCGTGGGCCTACTTTCTGTCCCTCACAAGAGAAAGGTCATTTATCCCTATTAGGGATGCAACGTTACCAATTTTTTCAAACCGATACGATACCGATACTTGGATCTGAGTACTTGCCGATACAGAGTACAAAAAAACTAATTAAATTATTGCAGAGTGTCCATATTGTAAACAAACAAACAAAATAATTATTATTAAATAAATAATAAAATATAAAAAATTATAAAATAAATAATAAATAAAATAATAATTGGCCCCCTAGTGGCCAATCTAAAAAACTACAACAGAAATGACAAGCCACCCTCTGATTAATGAAATAAGTTAGTATCGGTTCATGGTATCGGTTAACTTTTACGAGTAGGAGTACACACACATTTTACAGTATCGGTATCGGTGCATCCCTAATCCCTATACATCCTAAATGACGTTAATGGGAGCGTAAAATATAGCACAGGTATGTATGGTTGGGTTTATGCACAAAAACAGAATCAGTCTGTTGGTTTGAAAACGGAAAAAAAAACAAAATCCTGTGTTAAAGTCCAATATTCTGCCGACATACATCAACCACAGCCTCCTCCCTGCATTGATTCACTGATTTGCTCCTCTGTGCTATCTAAAGCCACCACGGCGGTCCTCTTGCACCTGGCTCCAGCAGTGAGTCAGTCCCCACAGACTCATGTAAAAACTTCACATTTTACAGCAGTGATTTTATGTTATTTTACATTTGACATGTAAAATCACAATCTTTTTATGTGAATTTAATGATATTCTAAAATATCATTAAAAGCACACAGTAAAATACTTTTATATTACTTTTTTTTTTTTTACAGTGCAGAAATAAACATGTTTGCAGCCAAGAGACTGAGTCCTGGGTCTGCTCTGGAACTCGTTTCAGAAGCACCTCACCAGGACGCCTCCAGGTGCCTGAACAGATGCTGAACCTCCCATCAGCGTAACTTTGTGCTGAACATTGGTGGGGCCTCAGTCCAAATAAATAAACAGCCTATTTATGCAAGATAATTCATAACTTTATGGGGGGGGGGGTGCTGTGAAAGGTGTCTGATTTTTGAGGGGGCCATAACCCTCCTAACCCCCTGGAAATTACTCACAAACCCACTCAGAGTTTGTGAGTGTAGACGTAGGTAAGAATGCAGATCGGCACCTTTGCTTTCAGACTAAGCTCTCTCATCATCACAGCACACCGTCAATGATCTTGAGGCCACCATAGTGCGCAGCATCCACTTCTTGGCCGCCCGTTCTCACTCCCGAGGTGTAACATGCCGACGTTTTGTCACGTCCCGCAGCGTTCCTGAGGAACGCAAAAGGAGACCTTCGGCGTTCTTATGGTACGCGGCGGGTTATGGCTGAAATCCAGTGCAATGATGCTCCCTCGGTAATAGACGTTCCAGCCCTAGCCCTAACCATAACCTTTTCCTGATCTTAACCAGGACTTTAATGATGTTAAATAGCGTGTTTGTAAACGATTTAAAGAAAAAGAGCGAACATGTGTAGATTGAGTCCATACGGTTCTCATATTTTCTCATATTTCCTCATTTTTCCGAGGTCGTCATTCAGGAACGTGGTGGGTAGCCGAAAACGTAATATGTTGACGATTTGTCACCTAGCCTAAAATGTTACGCTGTGGGAGTGAGAACGTGTTGTGTCTTGGCTGTGTCCAACAGTCTGTGGGTAAAACTTTTGCACAGAAACTTCAGGCTGTAAACAAGTTCATTTCTCTGCGTGTAAAGCTGGACAGTTTAACATGAGAGTATCTGCCTCAAGTGGACATTAGAGGAACTGCACCTTTTGGCACTTCAGCACCAGGCTCAGTGAAGGATTCTGTCTCCCAGTGCTGAAGGAAACCTACAGCCATGTATGAGGCTCAGTACAACATAAAAGTTCCTCCTTGTGTCTGTGTGCCAAGCAGAAAAATACAGTTTATATATTTTTAAAAAGTACTCATTTAGTTTAGATAAACTCTTTTTTGCGCACCACAAGCAGTTTGGATTTTGATTGGCTCACTGCAAACATGCCCAGCATCAAACGGAGGAACAATAAGAGCCCGTTGGAAGCTGACAGTAGTTTTAAGTCAGACTTGAGCTCCTGCAGGCCTCCCCCCTCCATCCACCCTGGATGATGCTCCTCTTTAAAGCTCCCAGCTTCTCCTTCTGCTCCAGCAGACAATGATCTTCTGCTTCACCACAGCCTGCTCCTGGACTTCATGTATTTCAGCCACGTAAGCACTACAACTCAGTTTGATGTGAACCCACAACAAATATGGACTCCCTCATTTTTCTGCCCCCACAAGCTGTGAGTTTGCTGTGCAGCTTTCAGTTTATTAATCAGCCACAGAGGAGCTGGTCCATCAGCACAGCTCTGGTAAAGAACGAGTTTTATGTAAAGTTCTGCAGCACTAAATCAAAAGAAGAAGGAATCTCCTTGTTTTTCAGCCTCACCTATGATGATGGTGCAGGCGCTCAGCAGCCCGATCTCCTTCTTCAGAGTCACTCTGTCGGGGATCTTCTTCTTCTTCTTCCTGCCGTGCGTCCCGGTGCCCTGCGGCCGGGAGCAGATGCTGCCGCTGTTCTGTCCATCCATGTCCGCCTACCCGGGTCCGGTCCGATCCTCCCAGTCCCAGTACTCCCAGTGCTCCTGTCCTCTCCTCACTCCGCATTCATGCAGACTGAATGGGCTGCGCTTGCGCAACAACCTGCCGCTGTCCAGGGTAGAATGTTAAATACCCAGGACTCACCAAGAGGCGTTCAAGGACACCGAGAGGAAAACGGCCCGAACACTCTCACCTTCTCCTGCCGAAAGGGATTAGTGCAAGAAGTTTAAGGACCAGAGTCTTGACAGAAAGAAACCCAAATTCTGTAATCCAATCCAATTTTATTCATAAAGCACTTTAAAATACCCAG